AATTTTGCCAAGAAAACCCCAGGAACAAGTAATAACAATAATCATTATCATTATGGAAACAACTAGAAGGCAAGCCCACAAACAAGCAGGGATGCATGAACACTGTCTCAGCCCCAAAAAAAGCCAAGGCAAAACCCTGTGAAGAGAGTTTGCCCAAGGAAAAATTATTATTATTATTATCATCATCATCATCATCATCAGGATAGGGAAGCCATGAGTGTGGAAGCTCCTAGAAGCAACACAAACACAAAAACAAAGCACATTCTCTCAGACTCAGAAAAAGGCAAAACCTCTGTGAAGAGTTTGCCCAAAGAACCCTCAAGGAAAAATTATTATTATTATTATTATTATTATTATTATTATTATTATTATTATTATTAATCATCCATCAGGGAAGCCATGAGTGTGGAAGCTACTAGAAGCTCACATTTTGGAAATCTTTCTCCCTTTGCCAGGATGCCCACCTGGGCTTTTCTCCTGAGCAAATAAAACTCTTATTTTCTGAAGGAGGAGGTTTTGTGTGTAGCATACATTTTGTTTTAAATACTCCTGCAGACTTAGGGTTTGGGGTTGTTGTTTTTTTTAATTCTCTCTGCTGTGCTAATGCTTTTAAATTCCTCTTATTGCAAAAAAGCCTTCCCAAACCTGGTACCCCCAAAATAACACTGAACTATAACTCCCATAATCCCCATCCAGCCACTGGCTATGCTGTTAGGAAGAAGGGTTGTAGTCCAACATATCTGGAAGCTACCAAATTGGACACCGTGGGGGAAATCGCTGGCAAGCCACGAAGACTCCCACATTTTCCTCCCTGGCATGTACGCAGTCTAATAACTAACCTGGCTGATAATTACACATATACACACAGCCTAATGAGTAAACACACGGATTCACATCTCAATTAATGACCTGACTGGTTTACATCTTAATGAGTAATTTGGCTGGTTTCCTGTGTCCTGTTTACATACTCTGACCTTTGAGCCTGACACAGGGAAAAGCATCTTCTGCCAGTTAATGAGTAATGGACAGCATCGAGCATCCTGTAAACAGATTGCTAATAAAAAGCGAGAGGGAACAACACTCCCTTAAGCAAGTAAGCAAGCAAGCAGCTTTGCACCCTCATTCTTGTCTTGCCTTGTGTCATTCCTGCATGGAACCCCAACAGGACACAGCTGTTGAAGATACAACTTGTTTTCATACTGGACGTTTTCACACTTGTCCTCCTAAAGCCGGGTGGAGCCATTCCGGAACGGGTCGTGCCGCCGATTCCGGAATGGCTCCGCCGCCGAAAGGCTAATTCCTGTTGACAGCCGGAATTACCTGAAGCCGGAGTTAGCCGGAGTTATCATTGTTTCGTCCGGAGTGACGCCGGACTTAGGGCTCCGTGTGTCTGAACACACGGAGTGAAAAGCCGGCTGGACGCAGGGATGACACCGGAAGGGGCGGGGTTTGCCGCCGCGCGTGTGTGAACACACGGAAAATGGAGCCGGAGTGAGGCCGGCGGGAGGCCGGCTAGCGTCCTCCTTTTGCCCCGTGTGAAAACGTCCACTGTGTGTGAGTCAGACTGATGTAGCAGTTTGAGTGTTGAAGCCCTATTCAGCCATAGAAACCCATGGGGTGACCTTGAGAGCATCATCCTCTCAGCCTCAGAGGAGGACAATGACAAACACCTATTCTCTAAAACTTGCCAAGAACCCTCTTGTGATAAGAGTCACCATGAAGTCAGAGTTGGCTTGAAGGCACATAACAGCAACAAGAAATGTGATGTTTATGTGTAATAATAGTTAATGTGTATTAACATTAACACTATTAATTCATAACTATGCATTCATTTTTGGAAGCCACTTTGGAGGCTCATTATGAAGAGGAAAGCAAGATGCAAATATTTTCATATTGCACACATCAGGACATTCATCATATGAACTGCATCTATTCTCCATTCATTGTATGTACTACTGTAGCACCGAATCCTTAGGGGAATTTTATAATTAGCTCAAATATTGCAAGAAGGGGCTTGCTACAAGAGCCCAATGAGACCGCTCTCCCGGTGTTTATACCAAGAGACCAGGGGTTTCCAAGAAATGAAGGTGAGACCGATGTTGGTTAACCACTAGATGTCTAATTTATTGAAATAGGGGAAAACTCACTCACAGAACATGCACTCACACACACACACTCAAGGCTCAGGAAAATCAGGGTTGGAGATTGGAACAGAAATGCAGGCGTTACTAATGGTGATGCTTACTGAAATGTAGCCCTCCTCCGGGAAAGCGAATGGGGACGTGGGATGGTGAGAGACAAGTCAAGCTCCGCAGCCTGGGGTTTGAGCAGACTTGCCGGTAACTAGCTTCAGAGGTCAGAGTGACGTGGAGTCATTTAGACCAAGAAGATAGCACACTGTCTGGCCAAAATCTAGGGTTTATATAGGGCTAAATGGGCCCTGGGGCAGAAGGCGATAATTGAGATGATGGCACCCTGCTGTATAGGGTTTCATTGTATTTGGTGGTCTCAATCTGAGGGGCCAATATCCTGGGGGAATGTGTGACTAGGTGACACAATGCACCTTCCAATGGGTGGGGGAGTGTGAGACTGGGTGGCACAATACAAACCTTACACCTTGGATGGCTGAGGGTGCTTGTGACTGGGTGACACAATACACCTCTTGATGGTTTAGATGATCTCATCATGGAAAATCCCATTCGCAACTCTCCTAGACTATCTGGGGCTATTGTGTGCCTTAAGGATTAAGGGTGGTCTGCCCAAGCCATGGGCGCAGAGGACCTTTTGCCTCTAATTCTACTTACCAGAGTTCATCTGGAGGTCATCATGGAATTTCACATTTTTAATAGCAAAGGAGCTATGGGTGCCATATAGGTTTTTCATATTTTTGGATATGAAGGGGATTATGGGTAACACTACTAAAAGTGGTGGACTGGCATACATCTTCCCTGAACCATGAACAGTTCTGGGGTGATTTTGGACCACTCATCTCTTCTCAGGTAGGTTTTTTTTTTTGTTGTTGTTTTTGTTTGTTTTGTCTTTGGTGAGAGGAGGTAAAATGTGGAACAGAAGTGCCATGTATACAGCTTAGAGCTCATTAGAAGAAAGGTGGATATAAATGTCAGAAATAGACACATGCATTATTTTTTTCCCAAATTTCTGGTCTGTAAGCACCATAGTCAAATCATGCATTGTTGTTGTTGTGACCCTTAAAGTCACTACTTGCTTATGGGGACTCTTAAGGGGGATTGCAGACTGCCAGAAATTGAGTCCACTTTTAGGGTTAGGGTTAGTGCTAGGGAATCATGGGAATTGATTTTTTTCTGAGACATTGAGCCTTCTCTGTCAGAGAGCTCTGGTGCCACAATAAACTACAGTTCCCATGATTCCCTAACCCTAACCCTAAAAGTGGACTCAATTTGCACTATTTCTGGCAGTCTGGAGTTTTCTTGGCAAGATTTGTTCAGAGGAAGTTTGGCATTTCCTTCCCCAAGGCTGAGAGTGTGTGACTTGCTCAAGGTGACACATTGGGTTTTATAGCCAAGGTGGGAATCTAACCCTGGTCTCCAGAGTCACAGTCTAGCACTCAAACCACTATGCCGCACTGGCTCTCATCATGTATTATTTGCTGTATTTATTGTTATACATTTTACTAATACACTGGGTTGTTCTTGACCGATATTCCTTTTCTTTTGGATAGGTAATCAGACGGAACCTCCGCATGACAAAAGGGAAGACACTGTGGGTTGAGGGCAACTCAAGGTTTGCAGAAGGATACAAAATAATTGAGAGATGACCCTATGGGTCCCCAACACCTCAATGGAGGCCAAGAAAATAGATGGAGAAGAGAAGGTGGAATACCAGCACCCGTCTACATTGCAACATCTTGTCCTGGGTCCATGACATAGCCAGGAACTTCTCCAGCCTGGTCCACCATCCTATAACAACTATCCCCCTGGCTTTATCCATGAAAGAGCAAGAAGTTGTCCTAACTCACCCCCTGGAGGATCCAGTCGAGGAGGAGGAAAGGGCAGAGTGCCAGGAATCTCTTGATAATGTTGTCCGGGAGTCTGCAGAGTTTGCAAAAGACATGGAAGATAGCACTCCCCTATCCTTTCGTGAACATAAAAAGGGAAGGCACCATGCCCAGCTCAGATTAAATACCAAACGCCGAACTAATGAGGTACTAAGGAGGTACAGGTGATCTTCAAGGAACAGCCCATAAATATCTCAGCTTTTCTCTTTCAGCCTTAGGACGTTA